ATGGAACAATGCTGGACTATAGCCTCCTGCTCCTCCATTCAATATTTCTTCTGTTCTTTCACATTCTATTCTTTTCCTTCCCTTAATTTTTTATAAGGTTTATTCTGTCAAATGTTTTTAGCTTTTTTGTAAATAAAAGAGGCATTTTATATTTAATATCATAGGTAGATTCAAGAATTTAGCTCCAATTTTATGAAAATAAAGCCTGTGACTACGCACACAAAATTTAAAGGCTAATAAGCCCGACAGAGACTAAAGCCAACGTATAATATAAGTATTAGAATTCAACTGACAGAACTGAAGGGATCTGTTTTAATTCAATCCAACTTCCTAGAGGTTTTTTTGCATTTATTAAAAATGATACTTTGCCCTTCAATGTACTCTTTCATCTCAGCATCTCAGGGTATTTTACAAGCTTTAATTAAGCCTCAAAAAACCTCTACCATAACTCTGAAACTACTCTTTATCTTGCACTATGGTGCAAAGAATTAAAGCTTAGTTAGATAAATTGGAACTGGGGCTCAAACTACATTCTTGCATTGCTGGCTGTTCTTAGTTTGTTATAATAGAATGACTAAATCCAGACAGTTGTTGTACAGCAAGTGTTTAAGGCAACATGCAGCAAACACTGTTATCACTACATGTCAAAAAATACTATGTTACAAATCCCAGCATTAGTCTGTTGTAGCAAAAAGAGTTCTGTGACACCTCAAAACTTTTATTTATGGTGACATAAGCTTTCATGGACATCATCAGACACACAACATACACCTTGTACAGTGTGCGCGCACACACACAAACAGAGGTACAGAGAAAAAAATTGGAAGCAGCAGGAATATGAGACCATAAAATGCAAGCTCTGTCTCCTTTCTGATGAGCAAATGGATACACATCCTGGAAATAATGCCACTCTTCCTACGGTGCTAATTTAAAACCTAGAGAGAATTTATGTTGTTGGGAAGATACCCGAATCTCAAAAGGTTACTCTACATTCAACAGGATAATTTTCTGATGATTTCTGGTTAATTTCATTCTACTTTTGATATCTTTTTCCCCCCAGTGGTGACTTTGAAGTCGGCAGCAAGGTGTTTTGGGAAACTGACAAGCTGTCCCACTGGTTTCAGAGTGGTGTACCTTTCTGTGTCAGATATATTTCCACTGGCCTGTTTGTCCTATATGAACAGTTGCAGGGCATTATTGGCAGGTGAAGGCACAGATAACACTGGAGGGTGTCCAGGTATCTCTCCTTAAGAACATTCTATTTCGCAACATTCTAAATTTGGCCCCTTTAGTGTTAGGCTGGAAAAACTGCCACTCAGAAGACACTGGCTGGGTTGACTGGCTGCTTTGTGCAGTCCCGCCCAGCGTTCCAAGGTTATTTGCATATGGAAGCTGATTGGACTACACTCCATTCCACACCTCAAATTCCCCCCCCCCCCGCAAGGCAGTTGGGATTTTCAATTGCATAACATACCTCATAGGGGAGAGGAGAATGATGTCAGCTGCCCTTTCCCTAGGCAGAGGCTGTGGGGGTGTGTGTGTAAAACTGAAGACAGACAGGCAGATTAAGGTTGGAAACTTCCAGGATATTTTAGGGATGAAGCCTGCTGAGGGTGGGGTCTGAGGAGGAGGAGGAAGAGGGGGACCTCAGACAGATACAATGCCATACTGCCCACACTCCAGACAAGCTGTTGCCAGTCTCCAGGTGACAGCTGGAGAGATCTTAAAGCTCTGGTGCTAATTCAAAGTGTTGCAAT